TTACATTGCCATAGTTCCCTTAGGCTCTGTTTATTTTCTTTTTCCATCTGTCTTCTCTCTGCTGTTCAGAAGGCGTATTGTGTGTTGTATTTTCGACTTCATTAATTTCCCCATGTCTTTTATTCTATTGAGTCCATGCAGTGGGCTTTTTATTTTGATTATTATGATTTTCAGTTTCAAGTTTTCAATTTGATTCTTCTGTATTTGCTGTTTCTTTTCTGAGACATTCTAATTTTTCATTTATTTGAAGTATACACATTGAAACATTTCAGGATGACCAGTTTAAAGTCCTTTGTAGCAAACAATAAAATTCTTATCTAGCATCTGGGTTATTTCAGTATTGACATCTGTTGGTTTTCTTTTCTTGTTGAATTGATATTTTCTTGGCTCTTGGTCTGGCATGTGATCAGTTGTGTTCTGGACAGTTGGAGTATTGTGTTATAGTTCTGTTTAAATCTTCACTTTTAGTAGACTTTTTTTTAATTTTTATTTTGCAGTACAATTCAGTTCTACATATCAGCCACGGATTCCCTTGTTCTCTCCGCTCCCGCCCTCATCTTCCCCCCAGCCCACCCCCCATTCCCACCTCCTCCAGGGCAAAGCCTCCCCCGCAGACTGAGATCAACCTGGTAGACTCAGTCCAGGTAGGTTCAGTCCCCTCCTCCCAGGCCGAGCCAAGCGACCCTGCATAGGCCCCAGGTTTCAAACAGCCAACTCATGCAGTGAGCACAGAAAGATCTCCCATGCTCATGGATAGGCAGGACTAACATAGTAAAAATGGCAATCTTACCAAAAGCAATCTACAGATTCAATGCAATCTGGTGAGAAGAAAAAATTCCACTTCATTGCATTGAGATTGGGGTTAAAGTTCAGGGTCCTTACTAGACCTTTTTTGGCACTTGGAAGTAAGCACCTCATTATTGCTGGGTGGGGATAGAAGCTTAGTCACCTGTAGATACCATTACCCACCTGATGAGGGCAGAGGCTTCCCTGGTGGCTTCCATTCTGCAGCTGAAACAGTACATTTCTCCAGTCCTACTCCTGCAAACAGGGATACTTTATTAATGCTAAATGCAGTGAAGCTTCTTTCTTCTCATGAAGCTTCCAGTGATGATCATAATCACAGAGGAGGGGATTAAAGTGGGGATGCAGATTCTGGCCTTTACTCCCTCTTCTGTGGAATGACCCCTGGGGAAAGTGGGTGATCGATGGGCTCCTAGAAGTCCAAAGGGGGTTCAGGTTTTTTCTATGGTATCTGGCTGAAGTAAAGAAATTCTGGGCTATTCTGCCTGGTTTCTCCTTTAATGACCAACCTTTCTCTTCACACAAAGGCTTCTCTTCACTCGATCTGTATTAAGGCAGATACTCAGTACCAGATCAAGTAGTATTCCCAACATCAGGGTAGAGGCTAAGGTGGGTGATAGTAGTAGATTTTGCTGGACCAGAGAGAGTATTCCAGTTCGTCACAATCTCTTTTCATTTGGCAGCCTTCTAGGCCATCTTGTCTGATCTTTAGTGTCCCCACAGAGTTTTTACTGTTTCATCTGCCACCATATTCATTCTACTTGAATGCTTCATTTTACTTTTCTATGTGGGACATTTTCATGTTAAGTCTTTATCCTGTGGGAAATGATCATTTCCTGCAGCCTCTTCAGCTGATTGGTTCAGTTGTTTACATTTCAATGGGATCTTACTCAATACAGGTTGATACTGATGTAGGTCATTTGAGAGTGCTTCTTTCTTCAGTACAGGCTGCTTGTGGTAACTGGTTGCTTTTCTCATTTCTTAAATGGTTGTTGGACATATTGAAGTATACTCATTTGTTTCATGGTTTGGTGTACACCTTTTCTCAGGTTTGATCTCTTATATCTAGTACATCCTTTTCTGATACATGACCAAGATTCAGTTAAGTAAGTCCTCCCTTCAGTGAAGAAGAATTTTACTGATATTTTCCTAAGATCTCACTCCAGGGTTAAAGTCTCATTGTGCTAGGGAGAAAGAAAATATGGGTCATTCTAAAATCTGATAAAACCAAGAAAAAGATTTAAAAAAATAAAGGTAAGAGTATATATTTTTATATTCTGCTGCTTATGAAATACAATTGGGGCTGGCTTACAGGTTCAGAGGTTCAGTTCATTCTCATCATGGTAGAAGCATGGCAGTGTGCAGGAAGACATGGTACTGGAGAAAGAGCTGAGAGTTCTACATCCAGATCAGCAGGCAGCAGGAAGTGAATGTCACACTAGGCCTGGCTTGAGCATTTGGGACCTCAAAGCCCACCCCTTCATGATGCACTTCCTCCAGCAAAGTCACACCTCCTAATAGTGCCACTCCCTATAAACCTGTGGTGGCCATTTTAATTCAAACCACCACACTGCCACATGGCATTTATTTAATGTCTGTATCTCGCCTCAAATGCTGACATTAACCTGTAGTCTGTGTAATTGTGCTTGTTTTTTTTCCAGAATAAAATTTGTATTCTGTGACCAGACATTCACCTATTATAAACATTATTGCCTATGATAGCTACTAGAATAAAAACTTTTTATATTCATAATAGCTGTCACAAACACCTTGGGGCCACACAAATCATTCGTGTCTCTTGGAGCTTATACACACACACACACACACACACACACACACACACACACACACACAAAAAAAAAAAAAAAAAAAAACCCAGAAATGTAAAACCATAGAATAGAAATCCAACATAGATTGACATTAGAAGCTATTAGCTTATTTAGACTACTGTTCTTGCTCCGTTATTACTGCTATTGTTTCAGACACTAAGTATTCAATAAGCTCTTGGAATTAATGTATTCTATAAGCTTAGTGACCTGGCCTTTCACTGTGAGCCAGTCCTCTCCTATAAGCGCATCTTGGGCTCCTTTTTGTTAAAGGTTAATAACCAGAATAATGAAGCAGTTGGTTATTTATGCAGTTATGATTGGCAAAGTTATGAGAACAGGAATCTGCCCAGAAGCAATGATTAGGTTATGAAAATGTTAAGGAATATTGAAACTAGTTACAATTTTTGATATTTAAGAAATATTATCCCTACTCTTAATCATGATGATCTTGTGTAGAAGTATATGTACAGAATAATCCCATTGGACAGTAATTCTTATGCCAACAGCATACCTAAATAAGTGCTAAGAAGGAGATTCAGAAATGGTCTGAGGGAAAGGAAACCTAGGAGAAAGTAACCACATTAAGAAGTTGGGAGGTGCCTGACCCACCGTGAAGTTGGACCTTTCTGACCTGGTGCTTTACCGTTAGCATTCTTCCCATGCTAGTAGCTGTGACAAAGGTTCTCTACACCAGGAAGATGACATATGGTGATGGTGTTCGTGATGTATATTAATATGCAAAACAGTACAAAAGTTCAAAGTATAATCCCCTTATGCTTAATAGAGTTAGGAACCCAATGTATAAAATAGGCACTAATCGTTAAATGCTGTTTACATAAAATCCGACATTTTCAAGTGTACAATTGAATGGCATCAAACATTTCCCAGAGTATCGACACTGCCATCATCTCACTCCAAAACCTTTTCCCAAACCTGCACCCATCTCCCCAGTTTCTTTCCACCAGTCTGTAGCAACCACCAATCTACTTCCTTGTCTGAATGAATTTGGCCTATTCTTGACTTCTCATAAAAATAAATGCTTATGATACATATTCTTTGTGTCGGTATTCTTTTTCATGACATAATATTTTCAAGATTTGTAGCACATAGAAATCCCTCATTTATTTTATGGCCAAAAGATGTTCCATTTTATAGATGCAGCTCTGTTGGTAAGTTGATGAACATGAATGCTCTTGTTGCTTCTAAACTACTATGAGCTGCTCAGAAGATGCCATGTATGAGTTTTTGTTTAGGCTTTTTAAATTTTTTTTCTTGGATAATGAGATATATGGGGTTATGTAGTAAATTTACCTTTTAAAATGCTACTAAATTTTCTTCCAGAGTAGCAGTACATTCACATGCCTGTTAGATAGACTGGAAGGTTCCACTTGAGCATATCCTTGTTAGATTTGCCATCATGAATCATTGATTGAGGCTGACCTACTGGATATAATGTCCTTTCTCCTTGTGTGTTTGATTTACCTTTTCCTGATAGCCAGTGTGCTTAGCATCTTTTACTCTTGGTCATCTATGTATTTCCTTTTGGAAATTGCTTCAGAACCTTTGCCAGTTTTTAAAATTAGATTAATATTATTTATGTTGCATTGTATGGGCTGTTTATATATTCTGAATATCAATCCTTTATTATATATGATTTCAAAGTATTTCATTTTAAGGTTTTTTTTTAATTTTTTAATCCAAGGTCACAAAGATGCACTTGTGAGAGTTTTATCATTTTAACTCTTAAATTTAAATCATTGTTTTCTTGTCTTTTTAATTGCCTTTTCTTTTCTTTCCCTTTCCCTTTCCCTTTCCCTTCCCTTCCCTTCCCTTCCCTTCCCTTCCCTTCCCTTCCCTTCCCTTCCCTTCCCTTCCCTTCCTTCCCCTTCCCTTCCCTTCCCTTCCCTTCCCTTCCCTTCCCTTCCCTTCCCTTCCCTTCCCTTCCCTTCCCTTCCCTTCCCTTCCCTTCCCTTCCTTCCCCTTCCCTTTTCCTCTTTCCTTTCCTTCAGTGTCTGGCTGTGTTGCCCAGTCCATCCTTGAACTCATGATTCTCAACAGGATGCCTCAACCTCCTGAGTTCTGGAATTGCAGGCATAAACTCTATGCCCTGCTTCATTTTTCTTGTTTACATAATGTAATAGGAGTTGCTTTGCATAGCTCTGCAAAGAACTAAGAGAAATGTCTCTTCACTTGGATGGTCAGTGCTACTTTCTTTATTAAAATTATTGCTTCATGATTAGACACGTACTCTTTCTATTGGATGACTCCATTCTCACTGCCTCTGACCAAATATTGTATTTCTATCTTTGTTTTGTTTATTGGAATCTGTCTGTGAACCAGTTTTTTCTCCTTAATTTGCAATCTCACCTCTTCAGCTGCAGTATAGAGAATGTCAAGAACTGCTAAGTCTCTACCAGAAGTACCTATCAGAGCAGCAAGAGAAGCTCACCATGTCACTCTCAGAACTTGGTGCTGCTAGAGTGCAGGAACAGCAGGTAAGAGACCTCTTCTGACCCGGAAGGCTCCTTTTCCTTTTATGTTGGAAATTCATGATATGCATGCTGTCTTAAAATATACAAGTATCTCATGGCTTCCCTGTCTATGGCCTTCCTCTCCTCTTCCTCTCCCATTCTAGGAGTCTAGTGATCAGAAACAGAAACTTGAAGTAGGAAGTGATTCCTGGGGAGACCTTTGATGGGATAAGAAAGTGTACTGATCCTTTACTTAATGAAGAGTGATGGCTATTTGGTGTCCTTTTAGAAAATATTAATATCCCTTTTCTGTTTTTAGTTCTTAGAATATAAGTGTTTATAAGAAACTACATAACATCAAGTGATGAGTATTCAGAACCTTGACTTTTATGATGTACAAACAGGTACCAAAGCCAAACTTCTGGCTTCTAACACTGATACTTGATGTCCTTCTTCTGTCCATATGAGTTTAAATCTTCAAATGGCTGAAAATAATCTTTATATGTTAAGATAGAAAGGACTATGTCATATAAAATCATGAAAATACAAATAATGTGTTAACTACCATTTCCCAAGTAGTGTCAAAAGCTCAAAGGTCAAACATGAGGATTTCTTGCAAACTTCCTAAAGAGCATTCCTGTTCAGATTGGAGACAATTGCCTTAGATGTGTTAAGAGTTTTGGCTAATGGAATCTTAGTTTTGAACCTACAATTTACATATATGGGAAAATGAAAACAAACAAAAAACCATGTTATGTGCTTTACCTGAGTTGTTTAATATAGACCATTTTTAGTCATACATTTTTTTAAGAAATATTCAAATTATTAATGCCTTGCTGATGTTCTAGATAGAAATAGTATCTCTTGCTCTGTTTTCAGGAAGCTAGATTGTACAGTGGCCACAGAGGAATATGGCAGCTTATATTATTTCTATTCATGTCTTCACCAGTCTAAAAGGAGGTTGACAGCTCTGTAGGTGCCTCTAGGCCAGAGAGCTTGTGAAGGTCAGTTTCAGGTTCACCCTCACATTTCTGCTCATGCCCTTGGCATGACATACCTAAATGAGACAGCACAAAAGCCAAGGCAACTTATTTAGAAGGGACTGTGGCAGGGAGACAGGAGAGCCTTCATTTAACAATATTAGTAGAGTCTTACAGCCTCAGGAACAGAGATTAAGAGTCAACCATGATCACCCAAGTAAAAGGAAAGAAGAAGAAAAAACCAGCAGCAGGGAGGAAAAGAAAGTTGACAGCTGATAGGAAAACTCTAAGAATATCTGGAGGAGGCCCAGCCTGAAAATGGGACCAGGAAAACTTCCTTAGTTGTTGGTAGTTTTTATTTAAGCTAAGTATGAACAATCATAGTTAATACTGCCATGCTTTACCTAAACTTTAAGCAGTGTAAGCCCCTATATTCGAATACATCTCCAGCTCAGAGGGAGAGAGCGACAGAGAGAGGGAGAGATCTTGTTTTTCACTTAATCTAGAGAACTTTCTGAAATATATATTTCATTTTAAATCGTGTGTGTGTGTGTGTGTGTGTGTGTGTGTGTGTGTGTGTGTGTGTGCGTGTGCGCGCATATCTGAGGTGTCATATCCCTGGAGTTGGAGGTACAGATCATTGTAAGCAGTTCCATGTGGTGTTGGGAACTGCACTAAGTCCTCTGTAAGAGCAGCAGGTGCTGTTGACTGCTGAGCCACCTCTCCGGGTTAAACCATGTTTCCCTCAAGTACTTGATGATCAAGTTCTAAATGTCCTCATAAACAGTGAAAATGAAACTGTGAAATAGAGGCTTCTAGGCTCTGCTATTTAACTTAGAAAGGGAAAATGAGTCTCCTTTTTCTCTTTAAGGAAGAATGAGGGTCACTTCCTTTGTTGTCTGCTTTATTCTTTGTGACAGGCTTTTCTGAGCTGAGCACTGAGAAACCCCCTCTTTTCCTTCCTGCTGGGACCTGAATAAGTCCATTCAAGTTTACACCTCAGAGGAAGAGCATCATACTGTCCTGTCTCCTCTTTCCCCCTTACCTCATTATGAAGTCTAGTGTATTCTGTTATATATTCACGACTAGCCTGGGTCCATCTTTGCAGAGCACTGTTTTATTATTGTAATTCTTGTTTATTCATCCACCTCTTTCACACAGTGTTCTGAAGTCAGGCATGCTGTTTGTTACATCGGTGGTGTTATACTCTCAGAGTCTGGTATAAGAATCAGAAATGTAGCTAGAAGTTTCTCTGGTCCTGCCTGGGCCCTGCAGTCCCATGGCCTGCTTATAAAATAATGACACAGAGGCTTAATATTATTTAAAACTGCTTGGCTGCTGGGTGGTGGTGGCACATACCTTTAATCCCAGCACTCAGGAGGCAGAGGCAAGTGGATCTCTGTGAGGTCGAGGCCAGCCTGGGCTACAGAGTGAGTTCCAGAAAGGCGCAAAGCTACACAGAAAAACCCTGTCTGGAAAAACAAAAACAAAAACAAAAACAAACTGCTTGACTATTAGCTCAGACTTATCATCAACTAGCTCTTACATTTAAACTAACCCATTTCTGTTAATCTATATTAACAGAATGTTAATCTGTTAATCACCACATTTTCTGTGGCTTTACCTGTGTGCCATTACATGCTCTCCATGGACAGCTGGCTGGCATCTCCTGACTCAGCCTTTCTCTTCCTCAGAATTTTCCTTGTCTGCTTATCCCACCTGTACTTCCTTCCTGGCTATTGGCCAATCAGCATTTTATTAAACCAGTGTACAAAAGCATTATCCCACAGCATTTTCCCTTTTCTGTTTAATTAAAAAGGAAAGTTTTAATTTTAACATAGTAAAACTATATATAACAAAACAATTATCAGGCAAGAATTATAGTTATCATATCTAGTCTATTTGTATTTGGCAAAATTAAAGAAGATATTTTATCTGTCCTATATTTATCTAAAGTTTCATATCTAATTTATCTTTTATCATAACCAAGGGAAATTATAACTATCTAGTCTTTAACTACATCAAAGACCTCAGAAGGATACAATATTACCTAAGTAAACAGGAAGAACATTGTAAGCATTTTCCAAAAATCTAGAATGACAGAGCAGCTGCCTGCCTAGACAGTCATCCAAAGTTCCTGTGTAATGTTGGGGCATCCATCTTCAGCCCACAGGCCTAGAGTCTCTCAGTCGCTTCTCTCTGAGCAGTTTTAATTAATATAAGCCTCTGTGTGTTTACTTGGGTCTGAGCAGCAGTGGACCAGGTGGGACACAGGAAAACTTCTGGCTACATAGAAAGATCTCAAATAAATAACCTAATGATGCACTTCAGGGCTATAGAATCATAAAAAGCCAGACAAACGCAGCAGATGGCAAGAAATAATAAATATTAGGGAAAAATAATGAGATAGAGAATAAAATTACAATACATAAGACTCCAAAAGCTGGTAATTTGAAAGATAAAGATGACTGACAGACCTCTAGCCAAATTAACCAAAGGAGAGAAAATACTGAAACCAACAAAATTAGAGATAAAATGTAAATTGTTACAGCAGACCCTAATCAAATCCAGAGGAACATAAAGGAATACTTGGGAGGCTTATATTTCAATAAGTTGTTAAATCTAGAAGAAATTGATCAATTCCTAGCTATATGTGGCCTAATGAAATTAAATCATGATGCTATCAACTTTTAAATCCCATAACCAGCTTTGTTAGAAGTGGTAATTAAACATCTCTCCACAAAGAAAAGCATAAGACAGATCCAGTGCTGAGCTCTACCAAACCCTTAAGAATGATCTGCTAACAATACTTCTCAAAATGTTTCACAAAGAAGAAAGGGAAGGAATGCTCAAGAAATCATTCTTCAAAACCATTACTTCTCTGATACCAAAGCATGCTGGTGATAGAACAAAGAAAGAAAACTTTAGATTAATTCCCTTGATGAATATAGATGCAGAAATTCTGAATACAATACTTAGATACCAAGTTTAAGAGTGCATTAAGAAGATTATCTATCACAGCCAAGTTGGTTTCATCTCAGGGATGCAAAGTTAATTCAACATATACAGATCAGTACATTTAATATGTTACATAGGTATACGTCAGAAATCACATGATCCTCTGATTAGCTGCAGAAAAAGCATTTGACAAAGTTCAGTGTGCATTTATGATTAAAATCCTGAGGAAACTAGGAATACAAAGGACATATTACAGTATAACAGTGATTATATACAGCAAACATATAAGCCAAAATAATTATAGTAAGTGAAAAGAAAACTGATAACATTTTGTTGGAGCCCATCTAGGTTTTCTTGGTGGCTTTATCCAGTAGATCTGCATAAAGAAGATGATTGGACCACGGGCCTGAGTATCAGGTGTTTGGAAGGGTCTATGTTTGACTGTACCTAGCAAGGGGGAGGTCTTTTGCTCTTCCCCTTGGCATTGTGATAAAGTTCAGGGCCAGTAGATCCATGCCCTCCTGAGGCTATCCTCTATGTCTGTCCTTCATCGTCTTAGATATCTCTTTCTAGCTAATTCTTCTCATTTCTCCCTACCTAAGAGTACCCTGGGTTGGAAAAGTGGTGGCTGGTCTGTTACATTTCATCTCAACTCTGGTAAGAGACAGGAGTGCTCACTCTCTCCTGACACGCTGAGACTCTTTTGTAAAATGACATATACTGCTCTTGAGTCTTCTCCAGGGCATCCAGACAAGAGAAAGGAAAAAAGGACACACCTAATTTCTGGCAAAAATATCAGAAGCACACACTGGAAAAGATTATTCAACTAATGGTGCTAGGAAAACTGAATCCATATTTCACTGGATTCAACACACATGGGGTTAGGGGACTGTGGTGGTATTGTGTTCCCCAAAATATTGTATACCCTAATAAACTTATCTGGGGTCAGAGAACAGAAAAGCCACTAGATACTTAGACTAGAAAATGGTGGCACTCACACCTTTGATCCTAGCATTCCAGAGGCCTAAATCCCTCTGGATCTCTGTGAGTTCAAGGCTACGTTGGAAACAGCCAGGCATGGTGACA